TAGATGCAATTAATATATCGCTCATTATACCCATATTCTGTTTACCATTTTTATATTTGTCCTATTAGCTATTTTAAGAGCCATCGCTAACTGACTTATATTTTATATAGGTTTCTTTCGAGTTTAATATCTATTACAAATCTCATTTGGTCATGGATTTAATATTAGCTGATTTTAGTAATTATAATGACTTGACTCCAAAATAAAAATTAAATTTCTATCCTAGCATTATCTACGAGTATCTCCGTTCATATTTAAGTCTATACAATTCTCTGGGCTTTTTAAAGTCAGTATGGCTCTCTTCGACTTCATAGTTATATGCCATTGAGTTGTTACGCACTGCCTTGAAGTCATTTTGTACAGAATATCATAGTTATACTGATGCCATCATGTATCTATATCTGCCTGCTCCATTTTCGCCATAACTTTAATATCTTCGGAATTTTTTAGTTATTCGATTCATTTATCACTTTAATACACCCATGCCCATTATTCACTCTATTATTTTACCATTTAATATTATTATCTATTCCTACAATGCAATAATAATAGGTTATAATTAAGTCTATTTTATTTTCCATTTAGGTGGATGGGGTCGCATCCAGCTGCCTTTTTACTGTGGTGGATGGGCATTCAGGTCCATCGTGTAGCCACGTGCTTGCGTGGTCTCTTTTAGACTACGTGGCCGCCGCTTGTCTAGATTCTGCCAAGCTGACCGCAGCTTTGAACTATTGGGCCTCCCCACTAGCCGCCACAGGTCAGCCTTACCACCTGTCAAGGCGACTTGATCTGTTCGAGCCTTCCACTGGACGTCGATTGGGCCATGCAGCTAATTCGCCTGGACCAGAGTTGCGTACGCATCTTCGTAATCGTTTACAAGCCTACATGCGTGAGCTAGTTTCACGGCCACACCGAAGTAGTAAGTTACTTCCTCTATTAGCATAGGCGCATTAATACTGTATGCAATCGACTGGAATAAATATTCCTTCACTAACAATTTGCGACAATTCTAGTTATTATTTTAAGTAATGGTATGTGGGTTGACTGGCTCGTTCATAATATGATTTATCTAATATTTAATGCAGGTATTGAAAGCTAGATATTTTTTTCTCCTTGTCATTCAGGAAGCCTACGCCAATGTGGGTCAGATTTATTGATATATATTATATAATAATATAATATATATTGATTACTTTTTTTAAATACAATGTTTATACTTATATTTAAATCATTGGATTAAAGTAAATGTATTATTTCATTTATCACTATAGAAAGCGGTTAAATTAGATGAAATAACGAAATTCGATTTTATGTTAATTATTTTAGAGAAATTACCTTAAGTTGCTTCATATAAGACCTGTGCATTTATTACTCTTCGAACCTTCACTCCTCATTAACCTGTTCGACATTGCCTTGCGGTGAGTACCTTAAATGTAATATAAGCTATCACTAAGTCTATGTACGTGTGGCGCTCATAGCGATTCGCTATGGCGTTCCACGCCCTGAATTCAAGCTCCAAATCCTAGTTTAGCAGACCAATATGTGGCCTCTATTTTGATCGCAGTCCCTCTTCTATGTAAATTAGTTGTTTGACCTTGTTTTCGCAACTTGGTCATATTGGCAAGTAGACCTAAATGAGCGCACCTTGTCTGGTGTCCATAGTGTGTATGATAATTTCCAGTCGGACTGTAAACCTGATACATTCCCTGACGTTTCGATGAAATCGTAGTCGGCATCGTCAGTGGCTTGCCATTCTCAGCACCTAACTATAACTCGTCAAAGAGACAAGTGGAGTCTTTCCCTTGACCAACTTTCTGTCGAACCAGTTGTGCTATCACTCATTTTATTTTGGCCCCAATCTTCTATCCTACTGTCTCGCCCTCTTCCTATCACAACTTCTGCATTGTTTACATTCCACTCCTCAAGATATGTATCCTTTTGACCAATTTACCGTGGCGTCATCAACCGGCTCTTTGCCTTGCCCATCTGCCTTTCGAGTTGCTGATCCAACTCGGGCCTCCTGTCCGGGATCTTTCTCATGGGCCTGTATATCCGTTTCCTATCTTTCTTGTTGATCGATTTAACTCAGTTCCAGCCAAAGCGTACTTTTTACTCCAGGAGCTATTTCTCAAGCCTCCAGTAGCACGTACACTGGCCTCACCTACAGACCGCCTAGACTCTGATTCTAATGCTTACAGGTATTAGGCATTGCCCTCACGCGTCATCTCCTCGATTAAATCTGTTTAATCTGAGCAAACTTTGGACATCTATCTATCGTCGTCTGCTGCATCTCGTGTGTATTATTAGTCAATTCGGCCACAATGCCGAATTTCTATGACGATTGTGATTATCTGTCTCAGGCATCCAAATTTGTAGTTGTTTTTTCGAACAGACTACACTTACTGAGAGCGTATTCGCTTTATTTCCAAAACTTCTTCATAATATTCTTCTTTGCCATCTCTTTTCCTCTGATTAATTAACATCACCCAAAGACGATGACCAATTTCCTTTGTTCCGAGACCGTTTGGATTTGAACCATCTTTACGTTGACACAGTCCACCATACATCCTCTTTCCTTTCGGCTAAATACGAGCTGAACTTTAATCTATTGTACCAATTAATGGCCATCGTGAGAGCTAGAACTCATTCTTGCTAAAGCTTCAAGTTAATGCTAAGTAAAGAAGACTATCCGGCTATATCCAACATGATATATATACACAACTTGAAAACGAGAATATTTAGATCTAGATAGATATAGATTGATTTGGTTAGGGCTCTTTCATATAAATCAGAGTATGTATAATGGTGTGTGTATATATGTGCCAGATTGAGCAAGACCAACAATAAGTCTGGTTTAAATTATGATGTATAAGCCTGTACGCGTTTAAGTCAAGTTTCTAAACTAACTGGTTTATTTCAAAGCCATTTACATATTCACTCACTATCAGGCATACCGGAAAAAGCAGACCAAAGAGCCTGATGTCCATCTATTTTACGAATAATTGATTGTTTCCATCATTTTGTGTCTTTAAGAGAAGCTACTTTTCATATAGTCTTACAGAGATTATTTACCAGACCTCCATTCAAAAGTTAAGCGAAACCTATGGTATGTAGAGGAATAAGCTATTTAAGTTTATACATTAAGTTAAAGTTCCGGCGCGATTTGACTACTTTTATGATTCCGGAGGATCTTTAAAACTCCAGAGTATGGCCGACAAGAAATCACATAGGATCTCTGACTTAATAGCATAAAGACACGACAATGCATTGCTTAGGTATTGAATTATAAGACAACGTAGGTTAAATGAGATGTATCAAACCTATTTCGCTTAAGGTGATGAGGACTGGTAGTAGAATTTTCCCACGATGATATGAGTATAGCTGACTTTTCCATTGAATTTAACATAGCCTTACTTTCCCAAAAGTTATCATCCGGGATGGACTGCAATTTCGACCTCGCATATGTCTTATAAATACCGCTAGTTGGGGTTGAACCGTGACAGTACAGCATGTGAGTTTGACACGTTAACTACTCGTTCAAATTGCCACGAGTGCCCTTGAGTCACAGTGCATATGTCAATTCCACGGAAGGCCAGGCCTTTTCCCATATCACATTCTTTGGTGGGATTGTC